GTCTGTTTCTCCCTCTCCCTCTGCTCCTCCCCCGACTTGTGCACTCTCTCACTCTCTCTCTCTCAAATAAAATTTAAAAAGAAAGAAAGGACGTTCCCTTCTAATTGTGCTTTGCTAAGAGTTTTATCCATAAGTGAATGTTTAATTTTGTCTCATTATTTTTATACATCTGTTAATGTAATCATACTGTTTTTCTTCTGTTAATATGGTGAATTACAGTGATAGATTTTTGAACACTGAACCAGCTTTGCATTCCCCAGAGAACCTCCACTTTGTCGTATATTATCTTTATATATATTGCTAAATTTGGTTTTTAATATTTTCTGGGGGATTTTTATATCTCTCCATGAGAGAGATATTTATCTTTTTTCTTATGATGTTTTCAGTTTTGGTTTTGACCAGCCTTACAAAGTGAGGCAGGAAATGTTTCTTCCTCTTTTGTTTCCAGAACTGTTGGTGTAAATTTAGTATTATTTCTTCCTTAAATATTTGGTAGAATTCACCAATCAATTTGCCATCCTAGAATTTTCTTTGTTGGAAGATTTCCAATTTCTGTAGTAGATAGAGGACAATTCAAGTTATCAGGTTTGTTTTGAGAGAGGATAACAGCTATTTTAGGATTTGTATAGTAAGCAATATATTTCTGTTTCAGATATATTTCAGAAATCCTCCTTTCCAATGACTTGACAAGGCAGCCCTTCTTTCTCTTATTCCTGACATGTCAAGATGTGCCATGACCTCTTTGTTGGTATATGGCTCATTCTCTATTCTTTGGGCTAGTGTTCCTATTAGTGACACACAGACTAACTGGCTGTGTTCCTGGAAGCACTTTGCAGTCTTCCCAGCCGTGTGAGGGTACTGATGTCACTGCATCCTTGTCAGTATTAAGTATTGCTGTTTTTAATCAATATGTAGCTGCTAGGCTAAAATAAAAATTTCATTTTATTTCTTTTTTTTTTAAGATTTTATTTATTTATTTGACAGAGAGAGACACAGCGAGAGAGGGAACACAAGCAGGGGGAGTGGGAGAGGGAGAAGCAGGCTTCCTGCCGAGCAGGGAGCCCGATGTAGGGCTCGATCCCAGGACCCTGGGACCATGACCTCAGCCGAAGGCAGGCGCTTAACGACTGAGCCACCCAGGCACCCCTCATTTTATTTCTTATATTTATCATAAAGTTGGATTTTTTCATATATTTATTAGCTAAGCAACTGAATTTTTGGATTTTGCTCCAAGCATTCGTTGCAAAGAAAAACATTAGAGATTGTGTAAGAAAGAGGATGTGTCACTTAAATACAATCAAAGTTAGCCGAAGTGCAGAGTAATGGGGATAACAGATTAGCCCTCTTATTGCCATCGAAATTGCTCCTGTTTTGGGCCATGTTCTCTCTCATAACAGTTTACCTTTGAGAAAAATTATTACCCAGGACGTTCTACTCCTTTACTCTGTGCAGTGGATGTATTTCTAGTAACTTGTCCATAAATTAATTTTTTATTAATTGTATTTCAGTCGTACACGCATTAGAGGAAGTCACTGTACCCTACCATAAATTATTTTGGATAGCATTTTTCTTTTTTATATAGTTTCTTAAAAACTGGTTTTATGTGAGAGAACAACTACAGTAGTGTCTGAGTATATACTGTCCTGACTACTTGTCTTACAACTTAAAAATTCAGTGATTTTAAACCTCCATTCTATTTCTTAGTGAACTATGAAAATAATTCTGTCTCATTTATTAGCGATTTACTTTCCTGGTTCATTCCATGTTCAGAGCAACTTTTGTAAACTTTTTATGTCATTCTTATCTTTATTATATGCTGTTTTGGTGAAAGATGCTTTTAGGAATTATTTTGTAATTTATTCAGATTAGGAGTTTTTTTCTTTTTTCTCGCTGCATTGAGGGCCTTTTCTATTTTACTGCTATTTCTTCATTTATTTGAGAGATAGCAGGGGGAGGGACAGAGGGGAAGGGAGAGGGATAAGCAGACTCCCCACTGAGTGCAGAGCCCAACACGGGGCTTGATCTTATGACCCTGAGCTCATGACCTGAGCTGAAATCAATCAAGAGTCTGACACTTAACCAACTGAACGACCCAGATGCCCCCACTGATAGTCCTATGTGAGTTTCCTTGTACATGATGAGTCACTTTTCTAGTGCTGCTTTAAAAAGTCTCAGTCTCTGAGTTTGGACAATTTGATTATAATGTGTTTCAGTGTGATTTCTTGGGTTTATCCTAGTTGGTGTCCATTAGGCTTTTTGAATCTAGATGTCCATTTCCTGCTCCATATTTGGGAAGTTTTCAGCCATCATTTCCTTAAATGAACATTCTGCCCCTTTCTCTCTTCTCCATAAGTCTCTTAGACTTTCTTCATCTTTTTTCATTCTGTTTTCTTTTGTCCCTGTTGTTGGATAATTTCAAATGACTTCTCTTCTAATTTGATGTTTCTCTCTTCTGCTTGATTGTGTGATGTTGCACTTCTCTTGTGAATTTTTCAGTTATTATTGTATTCTTCAGCTCCAAAATACTGTCTAGGTTTTTTTTTTCATCTCTTTGTTGGTATTCTCCTTTTACTCATGTCTTATATTTTTGACCTTGTAGAGCATCTTTATAATGCTTGTTTCAAATTGTTTGTCAGATAATTCATGTCTCCGTTTCATTAGGATAATTTTTAAAAAGATTTATTTATTTGAGAGAGAGAGCGCACGTGAGCTCGAGTTGGGAGAGGGAGGGGGAAGAATCATCAGTAGACTCCGTGGTGAGTGTAGAGCCCGACGTGGGGCTTGATCTCACAACCCCGAGATAATGACCTGAACTGAAATCAAGAGTTGGACGCTCAACCAACTGAGCCACCTAGGTGCCCCCATTAGGGTAATTTTTCAAAATCTATTTTAGTTTTTTGTTTGTCCCATGTTTTCCTGTTTCTCCAAATGTGTTATAAGTTTGTGTTGGTATCTCTACATATGAGAAAATAGCCACCTCTCCCAGTTTTTATGACCTAGTTTTGTGCAGGAAAAGACCCTCGCAAATGAACTCAGCTAGAGATGCTGTGAGCCTCTGAAACCTTTTTTGGGAGGATGAGACTTCCTTGGGCTTGTGTGTGCAATTTCTCAGCTAGAGAGCTTTGTGGGTCTTTCAGGAGGTCCTAATCTCTTGCTCCCTCTGGTGCCTGTTTGTGGCACTGCCTGTTTTCTGATGTTAACGGCAGCAAGCAGCCCTGTTCTCTCTTGTAGTCAGTGGCCGCCAGGCATCCAGAGTTTGCCAGCTCCCCATCAGTGCCCACATCAAGTGAGACAGGTACCATACCCTTGAGCAGCCCTGTAAAAACCTGGTGCAGAAGCACATTCCGTTCTCTCTTCCTCTGAGAGAGAGAAGCCTCAAGTTATGCACCTGCTCCCAGTCACACCAAGTTGTACTGGCTCTTGGATGCCACCCCTCCCATTTCTTTGGTCTTAGCAGCATTCAGGCAACCATACTATGGTTGTTCTGTCAGTGCCGTAAAGAGGCACAACAGATACCAGTCCTTCAGGCAGCCTTCCAAAGAGTTGGACGTTGGGTGCACGCTCCACTCCTCTCTCTTTCCCCGTCCCAAGGGAAGAGTCCAAAGCCAGGGTGTTCTTACCAGGCACTGATCTGTGGAGCTTGGGAGAGGCCCTGACTTGGGGAAGTGAAATTTCTCTTCTCACCCATTTCAGTGCAGCTGTTTTCAGCTTGTACTCCCTGGAGGTACGACAGCTTCTTAACTGGATTCTGGAAACCTCATAAAGGTATTTTGGTCTGTATATCATTGTTAAAGCACTGTTTCTGTGGTAGAAGCAGGACTGGGACTTATGAATCTGCCATCTTGCTGACATCACTCTCCTCTTCCCCGTACATCTTAAGACCGCTGGTTTAGGGGCACCTGGGTGGCTCAGCCGGTTAAGCGTCTGTCAGCCTTTGGCTCAGGCCATGATCCCGGGGTCCTGGGATCAAGTCCCGCATCGGGCTTCCTGCTCCTTGGGGAGCCTGCTTCTCCCTCTGCCGCTGCCCCTGCTTGTGCTCTCTCTCTCTCTGATAAATAAATTAAAAATCTTAAAAAAAAAATTACTGCTGGTTTAGAAGTGAAAGGACTTCAGAAACCCGCCCACATATTTATTTTGATCCTGCCTGTTTGGCACTTTGTAACAAAAGACATTTTGAGGCCAAACCAAGTATAAATACATCTTCCCTTGGTACAGCTACATTCTGTTCCTTGCTAATTTTTCTTTTTCTGTCCTTCAAAGTCTGGATTTCTGGAACGGAGGGAGAGATTCATCTGGTGGTAGAGATATAGGTTGACTTTATATGTAAGTTTCCTATTTCTAGAGTGCATGATGATGTATTTTGAGACTAAAACACAAAAAGAAATGCTTAAACCTTCCACATATGAAGTTCTCCAAGCAAAATATGTTAATAACTATATTATCTATTTTTTTAAAGATTATAATGTCTATTTTTAAAGGCTTTAAATACTTGATAAACAGTAAGCAAACCACTGCATAGACTCTCACGTTGAAGGTTTAGGTGATGGCAGGAACAGTCACATTTCTTATAATGGCAAGTGTGACAAGTTTTTTCCGTGTCTAGAACCAGAACCTAAAATGGGAATGCATTGTCATAGCTGTAAATAGTTCACATAGAGCCTACAGTCCGAATGCCTGAATTCCTATCATGGGTCGAGCACTCAGCCAGGCAATCAGGGTCAGGTTATTTAGCCTCTTTTTAATCTTTTTTTTTCTCATGTATAAAATGGTTACAGTAATCATAGCACCTACCTTATGGGTTGTTAGGTGAATTCAATGAGATGATTGATATAGATAGATATAAAATTTTTAGTTCAGTGCCTGGAATTTAGGAAGTGCGGAATCATTTTTAGCTATTATTAAGAGCAGTTATGATGAGATTGCTCTTTTTAACCTTAGTAACTGTTAGATATCATGTTAAAAAAAAAAAAAGATTAAGGACCTTTCTACATCATTTACAGAGTTGAAACTGTGGGACAGCCAGACAGAAGAGACAGTATAGGAGTGTGTGCAGAAAAACAGAATGGATACGACTCTCTGCAGCGTGATCAAGCAGTGTGCATCAGTACAAATGGTAAGAGATACGTAACTGCTGTTTCTTTGAAATACGTGAATTAGTGTAGTAAGATCCGAATCTGTCCCAACATCACACATTTGTAGCAGGAGATGAGAAAGTTTAAGTCTTTATGACATATCTGTATGGCTACTGTGTACCAGGCATTATTCTATTCCCTTTACAAATAATAAATCATTTAATCCTTTTAGCAGCTTGTTGAGGTGGGAAGTAGTATTAACACCCATTTTATAGATGATGAAAACCGAGCCACAGGGAGGTTGAGTGACCGGCTTAAACTCCCATAGCTTAGAGGTGATTGAGTTGGGATTTGCACCAGGCAGTCTGTCCCTGGTTTCTGTGTGCGTAGGTCATCTAAATTCAACATCGGTTGGTGAACCGAGGAGAGTTTACTTAATTTTTTATACCTCCCTAGCATTCTCTGGCCCCTTACTCTACAGTAATCACACTGTTATATATATTTTTAGATTTTATTTTTTTAAAGATTTTATTTATTTATTTGAGAGAGAGAGAATGAGAAGGGAGGCAGGAGAGGCAGAGGAAGAGGGAGAAGCAGACTGCTTTCTGAGCAAGATCCCAGCATGGGGCTTGATCCCAGGACCCAGAGATCATGACCTGAGCCGAAGGCAGACACTTAATCAACAAAGCCACCCAGGCGCCCCTACAGTAATCACACTTGTAAAATCCCCTCTCAATTGGGCGCCTGGGTGGCTCAGTTGGTTAAGCGACTGCCTTCAGCTCAGGTCATGATCCTGGAGTCCCCCGATTGAGTCCCGCATCGGGCTCCCCTGCTCAGCAGGGAGTCTGCTTCTCCCTCTGACCCTCTTCCCTCTCATGCTCTCTATCTCTCATTCTCTCCCTCTCAAATAAATAAATAAAATCTTTAAAAAAAAAAAAAAAAGATGTGTTAATACGTTGTGGTATGGGTCAAGCAGTAGATAGAACAACATTCTTGTTTATCTCATGTGCAACAATGTTGCTGTTCCACAGGATATAATCTTGTAATGGAGTCAAATTTCTTTTGATGCCATCCCTGTGGGAAACTCAGTCTCCATTCTAAAAGAGTAGAACCCTGGACCAGAACTCTAAAATGTGATTAAAGATTTAACTTTTTCTCCTGCCTTGGGGCTGGGAGTTAATTAGCATATTGGAATGCATTCTCTTTGACTAGTTGGCATAACATAATGTTTTCTTGATCTGAGTTGGGAAATTACCTGTGTTATCAGTAATCTAGAATCCATTTCAGTTCTTCATTGTTGCTCACATGTAAATGACTCTTTACCTTAACGTTTTAGGTGCGGTTTTTGTAAATGGAAAAGAAATGACTAATCAGTTGCCAGCAGTTACTTCTGGGTCCACTGTCACATTTGACATTGAAGCTGTGACTCTAGGATCCACCAATAATAACGAAGGAGGAAACTTCAAGCTTCGAGTAACTATTAGCTCAAATAACAGAGAAGTGGTTTTTGATTGGTTACTTGAGCAATCTTGTGGTTCTCTTTATTTTGGTTGCTCATTTTTCTATCCTGGATGGAAAGTGTTGGTGTTCTAGATTTTTGGATGATTGGCTTTGGTTTTGCGGGGTTTTAAATGTAGCTGTCCTCAGCTCAGTTTAGTTGTAATTGGTTAAAAAAAACTGTTAGATTCATCTCTCAGTTAAGCCATTGGAAATGGAAATTGTTTACTGGATTTTTTGGAATATTTTAGCAATAAGAGATTTGACTGTTGTGGACAAAACTGTAGTGCAGTCAGTCTTGTAGCGTAGTATTAGTTGAAGTATCAGCATCACGATAAAAATGAAATTGGCTTTTAACGTATGAGGAGATACAGAAAGTCCTATACCCTTCCACTGTGTACTTCTTGAAAAGTTGATTATTAGAACAGAAAAACTTAATGTAACATTATCTTATTAAATTTCTATTTTTTAAGGATCCCAGGCCATGTAAAACTTTAGGATCAAACAGTAGGAATAGACCAGCTAGAAGCCGGAGTTCTGTAACATACATTCAGTTGTGTGCTCTCCACATGAGTGGTGAATATACTCTCCATATTCAGGTATTTGTAAACAGTATTGAATTTTATCTCATGTTCAGTAATCTTTAAAGTCCCAAAAACGTGATGATATTTGCATTGTTAAAAATTACTGAGCAAATGTCTACACTAGGCAGAGTATTTTCTTTTTTTTTTCTGTGCAGTTCGATTCATGATAGACTAGAGGATTTTTACAGGGTAAAACTACTCATGAAAGTAGTATGTACAGCAGTAGCTGTTCACATATATGTAATATACACATGTGCATAGCCAGCCTCAGCGATGTGTATGTTACTGCTCATAGGGTATGAGCTACAGTCCAGTTTAATGTCAGTTTTATAAACGGTCTTTTAGTGGACCAAACAAATATAAGGTAAATACTTGACCTATTTTTTGAAAAACTTAAATTTGTTTAAGATATTTATTTGAAGGACTTACTTAGTGTTTAAAAATGATTATCTTAACTTGCTATACCAGCCTACAGATTTTTTTTTAATGTGAATTTTTTTCCTTCATTTTTAACAGTAGAAATGTGGAAAAGCAAGTTTGATATTTTTCTAAGATAATTTATTTGGGGATCAAGTTCCCTGTTAGACAATCATGACCTTTTCCCCTTGCGTTTTTATGTATAAGTAAGCCGTCTTTCATTTGTTTAGTGATTGTTAAGATGTGCTAGAATGTAGATGCCTCGTCCAGCTGTCTGAAACAAAATAAAAAACTAAAAGTTAAATGTGTGTATTTTTTCTTCTGTGAGATTTGATGAATCCAATTTTAATTTTTTTTAAACATTTATTTTTTTATTTTTATTTTTTTTTAAGATCTTATTTATTTATTCATGAGAGACAGAGAGAGTGAGAGAGGCAGAGGGAGAAGCAGGCTCCCAAGGAGCAAGGAGCCCGATGCGGGACTTGATCCCAGGACTCTGGGATCATGACCTGAGCCGAAGGCAGACGCTTAACCATCTGAGCCACCCAGGCGCCCCCAATTTTAATTTTTTAAGTAGAGGGAGGAAAGGATTTTTTGTGTCTTTGGTTTGTTTTTGTTTTTCTTTTTTCTTTAAAGATTTTATTCATTTATTTGAGAGAGAACACAGACTGGGGGAGGGGCAGAGGGAGAGGGAGAGGGAGCAGCAGACTCCCCACTGAGCGCAGAACCTGACATGGGGTTCAATCCCAGAACCCTGAGATCGTGACCTTAAGTCAGATGCTTAACCAACGGAGCCACCCAGGCGCCCCTTTGTCTCCAGTCATTTTAATACAAACATCATTGTAACTTGTGACAAGTTACTTATACTTTCTTATATTCCGTGTATGTGATACTGAGCACAGTGCCTGACACATAACACGTGTACGGTAAATGTTGGGGTGAATGAATGTGGTTGGATTATTTTCTCTAGAACATCTTCATCTTGTTCCCTTCATTTGTCAAATATTTATTGAACATCTTTTTTTCTTATCCTCCATAGGAGAGTCACATCTTAAATTTATACCTATAGAATCTGCCTTTTCACAGAAATGACTAAAGCCTACCCTAATTCTAGATCGGCGTGGATTGTAATATTTTGACCTCTGAAGCTAATTTAAATATTGCTTTCTTTTCTTTTTTCTTCTTTTCTTTTTAAAGATTTTATTTTTAAGCAATCTCTACACCCAACATGGGGCTCAGACCCACAACCCCCGAGATCACGAGTCTCATGCTCCACTGACTGAGCCAGCCAGGCACCCCTGCTTTTATTCCCCTTAAACTGTGAATTTAACATTTTGTTCAAACCCAACTCATTCTGTTTAAACAGATAAAGGAGCCCAGTGGGGCGCCTGGGTGGCTCAGTCGTTAAGCATCTGCCTTCGGCTCAGGTCATGATCCCAGGGTCCTGGGATTGAGCCCCACATCGGGCTCCCCAGTCTGCAGGAAGCCTGCTTCTCCCTCTCCCACTCCCCCTGCTTGTGTTCCCTCTCTCGCTGTGTCTCTCTCTGTCAAATAAATAAATAAAATTTAAAAAAAATAAAAATAAAGGAGCCCAGTATTCCAAACCTGTTTGTGTGCTTGGAGGGACGAGAGAGTTTGGGTGATGATAATTATAACAACTATAAGAATTGATATTTATTGAGCCCCTACTATGTGCTGGGCACCATGCTAAATTTTCAAAATACATTTATTATCTCATTTAATCCACATAATGCTATTTACTATGCTGTTATTACTGTTATTCCACTTTATAGACAATAAAACTTAGGCTCAAGAGATGTGAACTAATTTGTCCAAGGTCAGGACTAGTAACTAGTCTAGTCAGGATCCTAGCTCAGACCTGATCCACTCTGGAGCCCCTGCTCGTAACTGTTGTGCTCTCAGGAAGAGTGGACACTAAGGAGAAAGTCTCGGGTAGGTAAGAACCAAGGGATCAAGTAGCACTGGAGTAGCTGGAGTAGCACTGGAGATCCTGGAGTAGCACTGAGAAAGGAAGGGCTGACCGTCTCTGGCTGAAGATCTCAGGGAGCAAAGTCAGTCTTAAAAGGGTAGTGGAGATTTGTGAAGCCCAGAACTGGCATCTGAAGCAAAAGGGAAAACACTTGTAGTCCTGTTGGAGGTAAGAATAGCATGTGTCACGGCCGTGGGACTGGTATGTGAGGCCGCAGTGAAGGGCTGAGGGGTACAGAGAAGTCGCATGTGGTGTGTTTGTTTTGAAACTAACAAACCCATTTCCAGAGAGACTAGGCCATTTTCACATGCCCACCCACCAGCAACATATTCTCTGAAATCCTCCCAGGATTAGTTGTCACTGCTTTTTATTTTAGCCATTCTGATAAATGGGTGGTGATCTCTCAGTGTTTTCAGTCTGCATTCCCCTGGTGGCTAATGAGGTCGAGCATCTCCTCACGTGCTTATTTGCCATCTTTAAATTCTCTTTGGTAAAATGTCTCTTACCCATTTTTCTATTTGGATTGCTTATTTACTGTTAAGTTTTAAAAGTTCTTTAGACTTTTAGCTGCCGGTGCCTTGTTGGACGTATGGTCTGCAAATGCCTTGTCTCCAGCTTGTCTTCTCATCCTTGGACCAGGGTCTTTTCCAGAGTAAAAGTTTCTAATGTTGATGAAATTGAGTTTATTAATTTTTCCTTTTATGGATTGTGCTTGTGGTGTCAAGTCAGAGGACTCTTTACCTAGCCCTAAATCCCAAAGAGTCTTTCCTGTGTTTTTTCCTACAAGTTTTATAGCTTCACATATTACATTTAAGTCTGTGATCCATTTTGATTTTATTTTCTTATAAGGTTAAGTTTCATTTGGGAATGTATCTGTTCATACAGATGTTAGGTCACTTCAGTGTAGTTTGTAGCAAAGGCTGTCTTTCCTCCATTGAATTGCTGTCAAAATTTGTTGGACATATTTGTGTGAGTCTATTTCTAGGTTCTCTGTTTGTTCCTTTGATCAGTGAGTCTGTCCCTCTGTCGTACCACAGATTACTGTAGCTATATGAGGTTTTAAAATCCAGTAGGCTGATTTCTCTTTTATTCATCCTCTAAGAAATTGTTTTAGTGGGGCGCCTGGCTGACTCAGTTGATAGAGCATCCAACTCTTGATCTTGGGGTTGTGAGTTTGAGTCTCACGATGAGTGTAGAGATTAAAAACTAATACCTACCTACATACATACATAAATGCATAGTAAAAAAAAAAAGGTTGTTTTAGCTATTCCAGTTTCTTCACTTTCTCATGTAGATTTTAGAATAATGTTGTTTTTATCTATAAAAAGTCTTTCTGGGATTTCAATAGGAATTGTGTTAAACCTATCAATTTGGGAAGAGTTAACATCCTTACCATGTTGAGTCTTCCAATCCATGAACATAGTATGTCTCTCCATCTATTTCGGTCTTTGATTTCTTTTATCTGCATTTTTTTTAAAGATTTTTATTTATTTATTTGACAGAGAGAGACACAGTGAAAGAGGGAACACAAGCAGGGCGAGTGGGAGAGGGAGAAGCAGGCTTCCTGCCAAGCAGGGAGCCCGATGCAGGGCTCGATTCCAGGACCCCAGGATCATGACCTGAGCCAAAAGCAAACGCTTAACAACTGAGCCACCCAGGCGCCCCTTTTATCTACATTTTGTAGTCTCCAGCATACAAGTTCTACAAGTTTTGTTACATTAACACCTAAGTGTTTTGTCTTAGTGATTGTAAATGGTCTTGTATTTTTAATTTTGGTTTCCACATGCTCATTCCTAATCTATAGAATGTCTTTGTATGTTTGTCTTGTATCCTGCTGAATTGATGAACTCTTTTTCCCCCTCAAGATTTCCCATTCAACTCATGGATTTCCTAGAAATGTGTTATTTAGTTTCTGAGTGTTGGGAGATTTTCCTGTTATCTTTCTGTTATTGACTTCTGGTTTGATTATATTGTGTTTGGAGAACAGTCTGTATGATTTCTGTTCTTTTACATTTGTTGATTTATATCCCAGGATATGGTCAGTTTTGGTATATGTTCTATGGACACTTAAAAAGACTTGCATTTTCTACTATTAATAGGTAGATTGTTTTGATCTTGTAGAGTTCTGTATCTTTGCTGATTTTCTGTCTAGTTGCTCTATCAGTTCTTGATAGGGGAGTGTCAAAGTCACCAATTGTAATTGTGGATTTGTCTGTTTCTCCTTTTCTATCATTTTTTGACTTACATCCTTTGTAGCTCTTTTGTCTTCTGAATACACACTTAGGATTGCTGTATCTTTTTGGTGGATTGACCATTTTATCATAATGTCCCTCTCTGCCTCTGGTAATTTTCTTTCCTCCAAAGTCCACTTCATCTGATATAAATCTAGTCTCTCCTTTCCTCTGATTAATGTTTGCATGATATGTATTTTCCATCCTGTGCTTTCAACTTTTCTATATTAATATATTTGGAGTTAGTTACTTGTAGATAACATATAGCTGAATCATGTTTTTTTTGTTTTTAATCTACTCTGTCAGTCTCTGAGTTTTGTGTGGTCTATTTAGACCATTTACATTTACTTTTACCATTGATATGTTAAGGCTTAAGGTTGCCATTTTTCTTTTTTGTTTTCTGTTTTCTCTGGTTTTCTTTTTTCTGCATTCTTGTGGGTTGCTTCAACATATTTTAGAATTCCATTTTGATTTATTTATAGTGTTTTTGAGTGTCTCTTTGTGTAGCTTCTTTAGTAATTATTCTAGGTATTAAAAATATACATATAGGACTTCCACTTGTGCGTGAGGCGAGCAGAACCAGAGTTGAGACCAGAGGCCGAACTCGGGATCTGACAAGATGGCCGGGCTGCCCCGCAGGATTATCAAGGAAATCCAGCGTTTGCTGGCAGAACCAGTTCCTGGCATTAAGGCAGAACCAGATAAGAGCAACGCCTGTTATTTTCATGTGGTCAGTGCTGGCCCCCAGAATTCCCCCTTTGAGGGAAGGACTTTTAAGCTTGAACTATTCCTACCAGAAGAATACCCGATGGCAGCCCCTAAAGTACGCTTCATGACCAAAATTTATCATCCTAATGTAGACAAGTTGGGAAGAATATGTTTAGATATTTTGAAAGATAAGTGGTCCCCAGCACTGCAGATCCGCACAGTTCTGCTATCGATCCAGGCTTTGTTAAGTGCTCCCAATCCAGATGATCCATTAGCAAATGATGTAGCAGAGCAGTGGAAGACCAACGAAGCCCAAGCCATAGAAACAGCTAGAACATATGCCATGAATAATATTTAAAATCGATCTGATCATCA